ATTATCACCTACAAGGAAAAGCCAGAACTTGGGGGAACTCCTGGCAGCTCTATGACCTGGCTCCCACTCCTGTTCAGCTTGGCCTTGGAGAATCCCCACTGGCCAACTGTGAGCTCCCACCAGGCTTGTACATGTCTGAGAACTGAAAAACTCTGTCCTGCCAGCCTGACACCTGTTTCAAGTGCTACAGGAAGAGTTCCCAGTGATGCTGGAAGAAAATGCTTTGACCACAATCAAGTTATCAGCATGGCAACTTTGATAAAGGTCATCGGTTTAAAAAAAAAAGTGTGGTAACAAATGAACTTGAGATTCTGGTGCTCTACAGAGTGGACTTGTGTTTCCTAAATGTCTTTTCTCTGGACTTTTTATTATTATTATTATTTCCCAGAAGTTTGGAATTTTTTTCACTTTTGGGATCAATGACTTATATATTCATTTCCCCCTTTGTTTCTGTGATGTCAACAGTTTAACTTACAAGTCCAAACCTATGTTCAGTTCTTGGTTTACCTGTTCAAAATGTAGCATTTTCAGGGCCAGAGTTGGGTGCAGTGGGTTAGGCTGCTGCTGTCTGCAATGCCAGCATCCCACATGGACATCAATTTGATTCCTGGCTGCTCCACTTCTGATTCAGCTCCCTATTAATGTGCCTGGAAAAGCAGTGCAAGAAGGCCCAAGGCTTTGGGCCTCTGCACCCACTTAGGATACTAGAAGAAGCTCCTGGCTTCAGCCTGACTCAGCTCTGGCTATTGTGCCCATTTGGGGCATGCACTGGTAGATGAAAGATCTCGACCTCGATATCTCTCCCTTCCCCCTGCTTCGTCTCTGTAACTCTGCCTTCAAATAAATAAATAAATCTTTATTGAAAGGTAGACTTACATAGAGAGAGGGAAAGACAGATCTTCCATCTGCTGGTTTACTCCTAAAAGGCTGCAACAGCCAAGCCTGGGCCAGGCAGAAGCCAGGAGCTTCATCCAGGTATCCCCTGTGGGTGCAGGTGAAGTAACACCTTGACAGTAGGGATTCCATTTTGGGGAACCTGACACTCCATTCTGGGAAGGTGCCCCCCACACATACACACCGTGAGGCTCTGCTCTGAAACTATGGTCTAAAACAGTTGAACAATAGCAGTCCACTACATCACACTTGGCAGAGCATAGAAACCCCTAGCATAATCGCTCAAGCTTGGAAGTGGATAGGCTGCACCTGGGTTAATAATAAAAATGTAATTTGTCTATGTCCTACATATGATTAAAACCAATACCTGGATTAATGTCAAGATTATAATTGAAATTGTTAAGATTGCAACTGGCATTGTCAAGATTATAATTGATACTCGTTTCGCATCGGTTTTAGGTCAGCTTGTTCCCCATAACCATGTATTCCCCCCGATCCTAGCAACCATGTATTCCCATCCCAATTTTCAGTTTTTACCTTTATAAACCCTGTTGCTTTGGGCTTCAGGGACAAGAGTTCTTTTGGGCATGAGCCCACTCTCCACCGCCGGCAATAAAGGACCATCAAATTTTATCAATGTGTGGTGCTCCTTTGTTTACACTCACTCAGGTACAACACAGGGGCCCAAGCAACTGGATCACCCTCTGCTGCTTTCCCAAGCACATTAGCAGGGAGCTGGATCAGAAGCGGAGTTCCAGCTGTTGAGGCCATCTGGGGAGAGGACCAGCGGATGGAAGACCTCTCTTTCTCTCCCTCTCTGCCTCTGCCTCTGCCTCTCTGCCTTTCAAATAAATAAATACATCTTTAACAATAAGTGGCACCACTGGGAAACAAATGGATGCCCATATGGGATGCTAGTATCGCAAGCAGCAGCTTAACCTAGTGAACAACACTGGCCCTAATAAATCTTTTTTTCTTTAAATGTAGCATTTTTTTTCCATGACCTGACATGTTAAAGCCACAGCCCATCAGTTTGGTGAATCTGGTAAACTGTAAACTGGTGATTCATCAAACTGACTTTCAGCACACTGAGTTTTCCTAATGATTTTCTGTCAAATGCCCACTTAATGAGATTGCAGTTTCTTTTTCTCTTTCTTTTCTTTCTTTCTTTTTTTTTTTTTTTTTTTTTTTTTTTTTTTTTTTTTTTTTTTTTTTGACAAGCAGAGTTAGACACTGAGGGAGACAGAGAAAGGTCTTCCTTCCGTTGGTTCACCCTACAAAGTCCACTACAGCCAGAGCACTGCGCCGATCCAAAGCCAGGAGCCAGGCGCTTCTCCTGGCCATCCTCCACTCTCTACTCGGGCCACAGCAGAGAGCTGGACTGGAAGAGGAGCAACTAGGACAGAATCCGGTGCTCCAACTGGACTAGAACCTGGAGTACCAGCGCCACAGGCAGAGGATTAGCCTAGTGAGCCGTGGCGCCAGCAATGAATGTGCATTTTCCTAAACCCAACTTTAGCTACCTGCTTGACCCTTTCTCAGACATCTCAATGCTTAATCCACTAGACTGCAACAATAGTAAGAACAACAGCCAACATTACTTTTTTACTCTGTGCCGCCTCTCACCTAACCATGAAGCAGTTATGAACGAATGTCCTCCATACCCAATTCCTGCAGGAAACCTACTGAGCATCATCATCATCAGTCATCACAATGATTTGAGCTTTACACCCTTGGGCAAGAAACCGCCCTGGTCCCACCCACATCTCAATACCACCTCCTGGGGCCAGCGCTGTGGCACAGTAGGCTAAGGACCTGGCCTGGAGCGCAGTATCACATATGGGCGCCAGTTTCAGAACTGCCTACTCCACTTCCGATCCAGCTCTCTACTATGGCCTTGGAAGGCAGTGGAGGATGGAGCGAGTCCTTGGGTCCCTGGACCCGATGAGAATGGGGGTGGGGTGTTGGGGGAGATTCTGGCTCCTGGCTTCAGATCAGCACAGCTATGGCCATTGTGGCCAATTAGGGAGTGAAACCGGCAATGGAAGCACTCTCTCTCTCTCTCTCTCTCTCTCTCTCTTTCTGCCTCTCCTCTCTCTGTGTAACTCTGACTTTCAAATAAATAAATAAATAAAATTGATAAATAAATAAAAATTGATCACATTTGTGAGCTGGAAGATCAGGCCTCCACCCCACCCCGAGTGACCTCATGCCCCTATCTGACCACACCTCTGTGCCCACCTGCCAATCAGGGTAATTAACCTCTTGTCTGGAAAGGCAGGGACAGCCCTGCATTGAGTGGAATATGGAATCAGAAGAGTTTTGATCTGCAGACAATTTCACAGATTCTTCTAGCAACGAAATTTAATTTCACATTGTTTCTTCTAGCAACCAAAAACTACCCTAATTCTCCTGATGCACGATGCTTTCTTCATGTTGTTCTCCCCATCCGATGACACTGGGAGAGTGTGGGGTGTTTGCTGTGACTCAGCACATGGCCATCCTGCTCTGCAGACATCTCTTCACACTCCTCTGGCGCTACTGGACAGCCCTCTACTGCTGCACTACGTGTGAATTTACATGTGGGAGAGGAGAGTTCGAGTCCTGGCTGCTCTGCTTCCAACCCAGCTTCCTGCTAATGTGCCTGGGCGGCAGCAGATGGTCCAAGTACTTGGGTTCCTCTTCTCCACACGGGAAACTCAGATGGAGTCTTCCTGACTGTGGCTTCAGCCTGGTGCTGGCCCCACCCCAGCTGTTGTGAGCATTTGGGGAATGCACCAGAACATGGAGTGGTTGTCTCTGTCTCTCTCTCTCCTGCCTCCCATCTCTGTCACTCTGCCTATGGTAACTAAGAGTACCTAAAAGGTAATCTATAGAAGTGAAATTGACACTCAGATGCAATGATGGTTTACAGCCCTTGTCTCTACAGTTTGTTGAACTCTTTACTTAGTGTAGGGATAATGAGTATAAAGTAAACTGAAAATAAATCTTTGTAAAAATTAAGATTCGATGGCTGGTGCCGCAGCTCACTAGACTAATCCTCCGCCTTGTGCGCCGGCACACTGGGTGCTAGTACCGGTCAGGGCACCGGATTCTGTCCCAGTTGCCCCTCTTCCAGGCCAGCTCTCTGCTGTGGCCAGGGAGTGCAGTGGAAGATGGCCCAAGTGCTTGGGCCCTGCACCCCATGGGAGACCAGGAGAAGTACCTGGCTCCTGCCATCGGATCAGCGCGGTGTGCCAGCCTTGGCGGCCATTGGAGGGTGAACCAACGGTAAAAGAAGACCTTTCTCTCTTTCTCTCTGTCCACTCTGCCTGTCAAAAAAAAAAAAAAATTAAGATTGGGACTAGGAGAGGGAGGAGGAAGAAGGATGGGAGCGTGGGTGGGAAGGATCACCATGCTCCTAAATCTGTATATATGAAATACATGAAATTTGTATACCTTACATAAAATTAAACTCGTTGCTGGAGGCCAGCCTTACCCTGATACTCAAGTCAGACAAGAACACAACAACAAAAAACTACAGACAAATATCTCTGATGAACATAGATGGAAAATTTTTAACATACTGACAAATCAAAAGTGACAGCAATCAAAAACATCCGTCATGGTAATGTGGTCATAGTTCAGGGATGCCTATAATATGTGGATGCCAGGGCCACAGGTGGTGGCCCAGCCCACTGCACCCAGCGCCGGCCCCTATTTATCTTTCTTTAAAAAACATGTATGTATTGGAAAGACAGCGTTACAGAGAGCGACGCTTGGAAAGGGTGTCCCCTACAGATAATGACCAGGCCAAGACGGGGCTGGTCAGGCCACCACCTGTGCTTGGCAAGCCCGGGGCCCTCCTCCCTCCTCGCGGGTTGGGCGGAGCTGCCGCCCAGGCCCGCCCCTGCTGGCCCTGCATCCACTGCACTGGGAGCAGAGCCGGCCGCGCCGCCCAGTAAGGAGCTGCAGCGATGGCGATGGCGATGGCGGCAGGCAACGCGGCCTACTTCCAGAGGGGCAGTGTGTTCTGGTTGGCGGTCATCATGCTCTCCTTTGGCTACTACACGGTAGGGGCAACCGAGTTGGGACAACCGCCTGGAGCGAGCGCTCCTGTCACGCAGGCCTCCGCCTCCACTTGGAGGAGAGGCCGCGCAGGCGCAGTTCTCGCTCTCTCGCCTCCCAGCGGGGAGGGAAGACAGAACCCGGAAGGAGGCGCAGGCGCAGTCGGCTGCCAAGGCTTTTGGCAGGTGTTCGAGTCCCTGCGAAACCGGTTGGCCTACTTTCCTCAGGTGGGGGCGGGCACGACTCCCCACCTGAGGACTGAGCGCCTGGGTCTTTCACGATGGTGCTGGCGAACTCGAAGGCCGCAAGGGATGCTACCGCCTACTTCCGGACGGCCAGCCCGTTGCCCTCGCTGGTCACGGGGCTGGGGCTGGGATACTTTGCGGTGAGGGGCGCGGACGCGGGCGCCTGTGTTTTGGCCCTCCGGGCTGTCGGAGCGCGAGGGGCGCCGTGGGAACGGCGTCGCTGCGCATGCGCGCCGTGCGGTTGCCTAGGTTACGAACGCCAGCGGAAGCTAAGCCGGGTTTTGGAAGGTTTGGAGTGTTTGAAGCAGGGGGAGTTGCTTGGAAAACGGCGGATAAAGCCAAGGGATGGCTCGGATTTCACTGGTGAGCAAGAACCGGTGTGACAGCAGGAGGACAGCTCTACTGCGGGGAGGAGTGACTTTCGTCTCACTTCCAGGATAACGAACGGGAAAGACGCCCGGAAACAGGTTGGGGAAAACCGGTATCATGTAGGAGGAAGGCGAAGCTAGTTTGGATCTTTCCCGGGAGATCCTGGAACCTGGACGGGTGTCATTTCCACAGCGGCGTCGCTCTGACCACCCCCGCCCTCCTTTCGCCGTGTGCAGGATGGAGGCGTGGGACTCTAGTTTTCTCGAGTGCCCTTTCTGTGCCAGGATCCCGCGACCCTGTTCGAACACACAAGCTGGGAAACTGAAGATTCGAGTTGGAATTTAGTGGAACTGGCAGATGCCAGCCCCTCTCCACCACGCGGTTTGGAGGCCGCAGTGATATGTTATACTTTATTGGAATATTGACTTTAAACAGCATCCTGGGAGAAGTAGTGTTGCCTTTGGTGCAGATCTAAGTGGAGCACTAAACTTTGGAGGGGTTGACAGAGATTCACAGAAAGGCTTGTAACAGAGCCTGAGGAGGAGTTGGTAAGGTCACCACAAAAATCTTACATGAACGAGAAGTTGCTGTTAAACCTCCGCGAGTCTGATTTTCCGAGTGTGTCTGCGTGGTGTGCAAGAGTGGAAGAGCATGATTCTAACTGCGAGACTGAGCCCAAGCCACCGTTTACAGGACAGAAGCTGGCCAAAGCACGCAGACTCCTACAAGTCTAGGAAATAATGTTTGGGGTGGAATTCATGAAAAATCGGATCCGTTCCACCAGTGCACGGAGCCTGATCATCACCTCGTTTCTTTGTGGCACACATCCATTGGAGCTGCTTTTTAGAAATAGAGGATGGAGATTCAGGTGCCCTCCTTCAGACCCTGTTTCCCCAGTAGTTAGTTTGGTAGAATCGGTGTTCTTTCCTACCTGCCGGTCTTTCAGGTGCCCTAATGGTTTCTCTGTGCCTCTGGTTCTCTTTCAGTGGGTTGTCCTCTGGCCACACAGCATCCCTTATGAGAGCCTTGGGCTCCTGGGCTCGTTCACTCAGTACCTGGTGGACCATCATCACACCCTCCTGCACAACGGGTAAGGAGAGCTGCAGAAACGATACGCTGGTCTCACTGGAGTCCTTGAAGGCCTGCAGTTGCCTTTAGGTATTGAAGAATGGCTCTAGTTTACGTTTAGGAATCTTTCCAGATTTCTGTTAGATTTTATCATCAGACAATCCCCCCCTTAAACTAGACTGACTTGTAGAAATAGGTTTGGGGCCGGCATTAGCAGGTAAAGCCGCCACCTGCAGTGTCGGCATCCCTTATGGATGCCGGTTCGAGTCCCGGCTGCTGTACTTCCAATCCAGCTCTCTTCTATGGCCTGGGAAAGCAGCAGAAGATGGCCAAGTGCTTGGGCCCCTACACCCATGTGGGGGACCTGGAAGAAGCTCCTGGCTCCTGGCTTGTGATTGGCCCAGTTTCAGCTATTGTAGGTATTTGGAGAGTGAACCAGCACATGGAAGGCTTCTACCTCGCTCTTTCTCTCTCAGCCTCTGCCTCTCTGTAACCCTGCCTTTCAAATAAATAAATAAATCCTTATAAAAATTTTCTTTTTCTTTGGTACAGAGAAATTTTCCATACACTGATTTCGCTCCCCCTGATGCCCACAACAGCCAGAGTTGGACTAGGCCAAAGGCAGAGCCAGAAACTCCATTCAGGTCTCCCACGTGATGGCAAGAATCCAAGCACTTGAGCCATCACCTGCTGTCTGTCAGGGTGTGCATTGGCCAGAAGCTGAATCAGAAACAGAGTTACTGAGACTCGAATCATACACCTGAATGTAGGATGCTGGTGTGCCAAGGGCAACTTAACCTCTTTGTTGTTGTTGTTTCAGGTATTGGTTTGCCTGGATGATTCACGTGGCAGAGTCCTTGTATGCCATGGTGCTGTGCAAGTAAGTCATTATTTAGGTCCTGGTCACCTTTCTCGCGGTATCTGGTAGAAGCTGAGCCACCACATTTAAATAATTCATGCACGCCTAGGCTGAGAGCACTCTGAGGTAGTGTGGAGTACCCATGCCTGATACTGGGCCTGACGCAGGAATACTCAGTAAATGTTCGGTGAGTGAGTCCATTTAGTTTGTGTTAGTTATTATTTACTCCGTTAGTGCATTAGGCTGATTGTTATTTTTTTTTTTTAACTTTTTTTAATTGTCTGTACAGCAGCACCTAGAACAAAAGATTAGGAGTCTGCCTCCTAGTGTGCGAAAGAGCTGAGTTACTTTCCTAGGCCAGTAATCTCCTATCTTGATGCCACAGTGAACCACCTGAGGAGCTGTTTCACTGTACATGTCTGGTTTCCACCAGAAAAACTGATCTGGCAGGTCTTGCTTCAGACCTACAAGTCTGTTCTTTCTGGAAGGTCTGCAGGTAATTCTGGAGCTAAATGCAAGTTAAAAGCCCCCAAACAGACCCTACTCAGCAGATGCTACTGTAGGTGACTACTATGTGAGAGTACTGAAAAAGATTCTTTGTACTTTTGGACAATTTGTTCTCCCCTCCGGGACCGTCTGCTAGTGGGGTCCTCCGTGAAGTCCTGTTCCTTTGCTCTCCCACTGGGCAGGCTGAACCCATCTCTATGCTTTGGAGTGACACAGTCGCCCTTTGCCAGAGTGCAAGGGGATTTCCAGGTGGCTTTGTTGAAACTGTTCTCTGGGCTTGAGACTGTGGTAGGAAATGCCCAAGCGTTCTGAGACTCCTTCCCAGTGGCCTCTTGGGCCTCCCTGAGGTCTTAGCTGAGGACATGTGTTTGGCCCAGCCCCACAGCTTGACAGCTCTTGTGACTGGCATTTGGAGCCTCTAATGAAAACCAAAAGACTGTGTTGTGTTGTACACTTCTTTGAAGGGAGAAGGGGAACAAGCCCAGGGAGGTTGCGTCTCTCTTACTGTGTTCCTAAAACCAGTCCTTTAAGGATCTAACGTGTTAGCATGTGCCATAGCTCACTATAAATCAGAATTAATACTCCTTTTGATTTGTGAGATCAATGAAAGAGTAAATAAATTTGAATGCAAGAATACATGAAGACATGGTATAACTTTGGAGCTTCCCAAATCCTACTGCCCAGGAATAACTACTTGTAACATTTTGTTGAGTTCCCTTTTGTTTTAATCCATACCTGTTAACTTTTAATCCAGTCATCATCCTGTAGGAAAGAGTACTTTGAGCTGTATGTAGATACAGAAATGACCTTCGACGTGGCAGGAAAGTAACATTTACTAAGCACCTTCCATGTGCCAGTCCCTAAGCAGAAGCTCAAGGACACAATCAGGCTATAATATAGTCTCTTAAATCCCATGTTTTAAAAATACATACCTTTCTGAATTTCTTTTAACCAGAGATAAGATTGGACTATATGTTTGACTTTATATCTGCCATAATCATACACTTAAGCACTTTGCCATGTTTTTATTTTTTTTTTGTATTTCATTTTAAAGATTTATTGTATTTATATGAAAGAGTTGCACAGAGAGAGAAGCAGACACACAGAGAGAGAGGGGGATTTTCCACCCTCTGGTTCACTCCCCAGTTGGCTGCAATGGCCAGTACTGCACTGATCCAAAAAAAAGGAACCAGGAGCTTCTTCCGGGTCTCCCATGCGGGTGCGGGCCCAAGCACTTGGGCCATCTTCTACTGCTTTCCCAGCCATAGCAGAGACCTGGATGGGAAGTGGAGCAGCGGGGACACAGCACCGGCCCCGCCATGGTGTTTGTTTTTGTTTTTTTCCATCGTGCCATGTTTTTAAAATAACCTTGAAGGCAGGCACTTGGCCCTGCAGTTAAGATGCTACTTGAGGGAGGACACTGTGGTGTAGCAGGTAAAGCCTCCGAGACCTGCAATGCTGGCGTCTCATATGGGTGCTGGTTGGAGTCCTGGCTCCTCCACTTCCCATCCAGCTCTCTGCTCGGGCCTGGGAAAGCAGTGGAAGATGGCCCAAGTCCTTGGGCCCCTGCAGCTGTGTGGGAGACCCGGAGGAAGTTCCTGGCTCCTGGCTTCGGATCGGTGCAGCTCCGGCCGTTGCAGCCAATTGAGGAGTGATCCATCGGATGGAAGACCTCTCTGCCTCTCCTCTCTCTGTGTAACTCTGACTTTCAAATAAATACTTTTTTTTTTTTTAATGATGCTACATGGGACAGCCCCATCCTATATCAAAGTACCAGGAATCAGATCCTGGCTCTGGTCTTAATTCCAATTTCCTGCTGATGCACACCCTCGAAGGCCTCAGATGATGCCTCAAGCCCATGGGTCCCTACCACTCATGTGACAGACCCAGATACTGACTGAGTTCTCAGCTCCTGGCTTCAGCCTGCTCCAGTCCTGGCTGTTGGTGGCATTTGAGAGTGATCCAGCAGGTAGGAAATCAGTTTCTTTCTCTCTCTCCCTCTCAGCCTTTCTGCCTTTATTTCAAATAAAATAATTTTTTATGAAGTTTGGTGAATAGTTTTAAATTTTGCATACTATTCCTCTAGTTGTATATTCCAGAATTCAGTTAGCTAAACTAGCAGTGAATATTTAACTTTAAAAAACATTTTTCTTTTGTTAATGATTGTTTAGTTTTATTTGAGAGAGAGAACTCCACTCCACTCACTCATGCTCCAGATATCTCCAGTAGCTGGAGCTGGGCCAGGACCAAAGTTAGGCTCCAGGAATGCAATCCAGGTCTGCCTTTGCAATCCAGGTCTCCCACAAGGCAGGGACCCTACTGCTTGAGCAATCAGCACTGTGATGTGGGAGGCAGATTTTTTATCACTGGGCTGAATGTCTACTCCCTGGGTCTTAGGTCTTTAATCTACCTGGAACTGACTTTTTGTGAGAGGCAAGTATTCAACATTATCTTGATATTTCTATATGGATGCCCTGTTTTCCCCAAGCCACTTCTTGAGACTTTCACTCTTCATTAATGTGCTGTGGCTTATAGCCACATATATGTCTGTGTTTTTGAACTCACTGTTCTTTTCTGTTGGTTTGCTTCTTTGTCCTTGGGCCAGCATAACATTATCTTACAGTAGTAGCTTTGTAATCACTGACACCTGATGGAGCACGTCCTCTCACCTTGTTCAGAGTTACCTGTTCCTGGGCCTTTGCACAGCCTTATGCATTGTCATTTGCTTCAAAGATGAAAAATTTATCTGTTGGCATTTTTATTAGATTGACCATATGAATTAATTTGTAGCAGAATGGCATATTTCCGTTATTAAGTCTTCTAAACCAGGAAAAATGATTTGTCTCCATTTCCTTAGAGTTCTGTGATGTTTTTCCTATTCTTTATTTGGTTAATATCCAGCTTCCTGTACTTTCAGATGTTGTTATAAGTGACTTTTCCTTCATTTTATCATTGTTTGATGGTAGCATATATGCATATAGTCAGTTTTATATATTGACCTTATACGTAGCAACCTTAAAAATTCATTTATTAATTCTAATAGTTCATCTATAGATTATTTTCAGTTTTCTAGTCATCATTCAAGTGTCTCTAGAAACAGTTTTATTTTTTCTTCTCAGTTCAGTCCCTTTGCTTTGTGTTTCTTCCCTGTTGTACTAACTCATACTTCCAGTGCGTGTTGCCTAGAAGTGGACATGATGCCTGGTTCCTGATCGCCAAGCTGTCAGTGTCCTTGCATCATGTTTATTCTAGAGTTTTATAGATCTTCTCTGTCAAAATGAGGATGTTCGACTGTATATCTAAGTCTGCTAAGAACTTTGAAGAAGGATGTTGAAACTTATCAGATATTTTTGCATTTTTTTGGATTTATTAGTTTATTTGAAAGTCAGAGTTACACAGAAAGAGAGGCAGAGAGAGAGAGAGAGAGAGTCTTCCATCCGCTGATTCACTCCCCAGTTGGCCACAACAGCTGGAGCTGGGCCTATCCAAAGCCAGGACAGGAACTTCTTCTGGGTCTCCCACGTAGGTACAGAGGCCCAAGGAGTTGGGCCATCTTCTACTGCTTTCCCAGGCCACAGCAGAGAGCTGGATCTGAAGTGGAGCAGTTGGGACTCAAACCTGTGCCCATATGGGATATCAGCTCTGCAGGCGGCAGCTTTACCCACTGTGCCACAGCACTGACCCCTATTTTTTGCATTATTAAAATGTATAATCTTTATCCTTTAATTTATTGATAGAAAAAACCATTTGTATATATGCATATAAAGTTTGCTTTGAATAAAAGGTTTATGCAAGTGAGACTTAATTCCATACACATGAGCCTGCAGCAAGCTGTTCACTTAAGCTGAATCATTTTCTGTTGAGCTTTCAGACAGTTGAATGACTGTATAGTAACACTATGTTCCAGTTTCTTTCCTAAGCACTTTGTGTATATATCTCATAAACCAAGTGGGACAGATACTACTATGACTGTTTTTCACATGAGAATACTGTTTCTGAGAGCTACTAGTGATGTGCCCAGGACACAGCTGGTGGGTGGCCAAGCTGGGATTCACATCTGGTGCAAATCTTCACATCTTCAGACACTTGCTCTGAAGCCATACCAGTGCCCATCTCCTTTCCAGTCATCTCATGAGAAACCGTTTTATAATGCTCTACCCTGCTCTACCTGGACAGTAGCCAGACTAGTTCCAAGGAATAGTGTACCATCCTAAATACATTTATTAGGAAGCAAGGAAGAGGAAAAATAAATTCCCCCTTTAAGTTAAAAAACCAGGGTGGGGAGGTGGTAGACAGATGGAAGTATAGAAAAAGTATAAAAATTAAAAAAGAATAAGGCCAGCGCCGCAGCACACTGGGCTAATCCTCTGCCTGCGGTGCCGGCGCCCCAGATTCTGGCCCCAGTCTGAGCGCCGGTTCTGTCCTGGTTGCTCCTCTTCCAGGCCAGCTCTCTGCTGTGGCCCGGGAGTGCAGTGGAGGATGGCCCAAGTGCTTGGGCCCTGCGCCCACATGGGAGACCGGGAGAAGCACCTGTCTCCTGGCTTCGGATCAGCACGGTGCGCCCACCGCAGCGGCCATTGGGGGGTGAACCAACAGAGGAAGGAAGACTTTTCTCTCTGTCTCTTTCTCACTGTCCACTCTGCCTGTCAAATAAATAAATAAATAAACAATGCTTCCTGTGAAACCATAAGATCAAAATTATGGTGCTTATATTTTGTTCTTTTTTTTTTTTTTTTTTTTTTTTTTTTAGGTATAAAGGAATCACAAATGGTCGGGCTCAGCTACTCTGGTTCCTACAGACTTTCTTCTTTGGGATAGCATCTCTTTCCATCTTGATTGCTTACAGACCAAAGCGCCAAAAACAAAATTAAAAGCAAATATACAGAAGTTTCCTCTACTTAATTCAGACACCTTTCCAGGGTGACAGGGACTGCCATTTTCACTCAATGATATTTCTATTTTGTAAAAAGTTTCCCTCAAAGCTATCTAGGACCCTGCAGTTACTCATTTTTCGTATAATATGCTGTGGTTGAGCTTGAATAGACCAGTTAGTTAACAAGGAAATAGGAAAAGTAAATACAAGTTTACAAGTAAATTAAGGAACTAGGAAAAGATTTTAGCCTTCAGCTCTGTGGACTCAGCACAGAAGAGGGCTTCCCCCCCACCTTCTTAAGGGCCTCTGGCATTGTGGGCTCTGCTGTCATCTGGGCTGAGACACACGCTTGCTAGATTTGCTTGTTGGTTTTTCTTTGCTCCTTTCCTTCTTGTTAAAACATCTTGGCCGCACTACCACCATGTTAGCTCTCCTTCCCTTAAATTCTCTCCATCTTTCTGGACCAAGAGGTAGGGACACTTCTACAATACATCAGTTCCTTATACATTTGTTAGGCACCTCTAAGGCAGAATCTTACCCTTTCAAACTTCTGTTTCTCAAATTACAGAGAAAAATAAGGAAGTTGGAACGGTCAGACTGAGTGATCACATAGAGGCACACTGAGAATCACGGCTGGTGGCCTTCCCTGCTGCTGACCGAAGTGTCCTTTCCCTACACTGGACCCCGGGACACGGTGCCCTGTGGCTCGCAGGGGTTGATTGCTGCTCCAGCTCAGGGTGCAGCTTAGCTCTACTTCCCCCACCTTACCTGTCCCCCTGCCGTGCACGGAGTTGTTTGACCAGTGTTGATTGCTGACTTCACTTTCTACTCGTTCATTATCATTCCAATTTTTATGTGAAAACTACAGGACTCATTGCATACACTGTCCTCTCAAAAGACAGCCGCAAGACCTTTGGCTGACTGTGTCACCGCTTGGTGAGACTCCCGGTGGGAAACCTGTCTCTTTTCATGCTTTCATGTTCTCCATCACTGTCTCCAGACTCCAAGTGTCTTCCTCCAGCTCTGAAGAGTCTAGCTCACGGTTTATCCATCAAGTTAGTGTCTTCCATTCTGGTGGATATATCTTACTACTGTTGACTGGTGGGATGACTCTGTCACCATTAGGAGCCATTAGGCCTCCTTCCCTAGAGGATGGCTTACTTGTTCTCTTTGGACTAGTCTTCATACCCCTTCCATAATATGGGGAGGGGGCAAGTTATTTGTATTAAGCAGACATTTATGAGAAACAACTACCTCCCCCAAAAGAGAGCTTCCAATTGAAACCACAATATAAAAGATTATGGACTGGGGCCACCGACCCTGTTGCATAGCACGTTAAACCTCCACATCACACATGGGCACTGGTTCCAGACCCAACTGCTCTGTTTCTGATCCAGCTCTCTGCTAATAATGTGCCTGGGAAAGCAGCAGTGGATGGCCCAAGTCCTTGGCCTGCAGCCTCGTGGGAGACCCAAAAGAAGTTCTGGGCCTGGCTTCAGCTTGGCCCCGCCCCAGCCACTGTGGTTATTTGAAGAGTGAACCAGTGGATGGAAGATTGCTGTCTTGCTTGCTCTGTCTTTTAAAGAAAAAAGAATATGGACTATGAATTGTTTCTGGTGGTATTTGTCTTAAAGTTTTTCTCTAGTTCTCTTGTGATTATGAGTTGCTTTTCACTAAGGAACCCCATTTTTGACCATGGAGTTAAGCATCATGGAAATCAAACCCAGTTTTTAAGAAGTCCTTTCCAAAGAGAAATAATAATGACTAATATTGGTGGTGCTGGGGACCGTGCTATCAGGCTACTGAATGAAATGGATTAATTTAAATAAAATGCTGTGAGTTATCTCTTCAACCAAGTGCTTTTTTGTGTTTCTCAGTTTTGATATATTATCACATATTTGATTCTGTCTCAAATAGACTTTATGGGGCTGTTTGTACGGTTCAAATATCAGTTTTTCACTGACAGAGAATGCAGAATGCTGTGGTTTCGGGGTATATCCCTCTTAGGTTTATAGAGGCCCACTTTTTTTTTTTTTTTTTTTTTGACAGGCAGAGTGGACAGTGACAGAGAGAGAAACAGAGAGAGGTCTTCCTTTGCCGTTGGTTCACCCTCCAATGGCCGCCGCGGCCGGTGTGCTGTGGCCGGCGCATCGCGCTGATCCGATGGCAAGAGCCAGGTACTTATCCTGGTCTCCCATGGGGTGCAGGGCCCAAGCACTTGGGTCATCCTCCACTGCACTCCTGGGCCACAGTAGAGAGCTGGCCTGGAAGAGGGGCAACCGGGACAGAATCCGGCGCCCCAACCGGGACTAGAACCTGGTGTGCTGGCGCCGCAAGGCGGAGGATTAGCCTAGTGAGCCGTGGCGCCAGCCAGAGGCCCACTTAACTCTTGCACACACACTGAGGCACTGGGGTGGACACCAGTGTATTTGAATTATAGGACTTCCTCTTGTTTTCATTTCATTCAGCATTTGATAGAAACTCTGCAGCAAGTGAAGAATGTTCTGGCATTTTCTTTCAGTGCCAGAAGTATAAAATCATGCCATCTTATGTGGGATTTTACTATGGTGGGGTCTTAGCAGATGGTGCTGGCTGTTCAGGTCATAGACCCATCCACAGCCTCACAGTGAGGGGAGGTCACTTACGCAGCATCACACAGGAAGAGGCCGATTCTGGGCCTTGGGACGCTCCCTCCCTTGCAGCCCAGGAGCTTTGATGTCTGTGAAGGAAAAAATAAAAATGGAGGCATCTTTATGTTGTAGTCTTAGCAATGATATGAGAAAAATAAAAAAAAGAAACAGCTTTGAGTCTGAGAAAAAAATCAGAGGCATCTTACTGGAATCGACTTGGAAGGCAAATGGACTAAATTGTTTTCTTCCCCACCCTAAAGATTTTCAGAGCGTGCATACTTTGGAAAAATAGAAAAAAGGACCAAAACAAAACAAATTGCTTCACAATTTACTAACAGGCCCGATTTATAAACTAACAGTATTTCCTACATTCAATATGCTATGACTCAATAGAGCTCAAGTCTAAACATGTTTGATCAGCCACAGTGTTAACAGCCTTGAGTTTAAGAGGTCGTGTTCCAGATAGGTGAAGTTTTTGTTTTAGCAAACAGCTTGCTTTTCAGAGGCCCTTTATGTCTTTACACTGAGAGTCCGAAAACTGCAGAGAAGTTAGGGAGCCTGCAGTTGAGGTATAAAACAGTGGAACAGAAGAAAACAGCCCAGAAATAAACCTGGACATTTAGCAGTCAATGGATCATCGACAGAGAGGCCAGGAACACACAGGAAAGGACAGTCTCTTCACTCAATGCTGCTGAGAAGAAATGGATGTCCACATGCTGAAGGATGAAATTGGTCCCTTGCCACATGCCATTTGCCAAAATAAAAATGCATTGAAGACTTAAATCTAAGATCTCAATTACTAGAGGAAAATAGAGGGGGCAAGTTCTATAACGTTAATCTGGGTGATGGTTTTATGGCTCTAATCCCAAAAGTCCAGGCAACAAAAGATAAAATAGACAAACTGAAAAGCTTCAGCACAGCCAAGAAAATGATTAACAGAGCAAAGAGAAAAACCTACAGAATGGGAGAAAAATTTTTGCAAAGCATACATCTAATAATATCCAAATATGCGGGAACTATACAACTCAATAGCAACAAAGCATGCGCCAGTTACTAACGGTCAAAGGACCTGGATAGACATTTCTGAAAAAAAGACATAGAAATGGCTCAGCATCATTGTTCTAAACACTGATAATAAAATATCCAAAGCCCACAGCTTTTTAAGGCAACCATTGTCCCCATTTTACAGTTAGAGAGTTAGAGACATGAAGGGAGTTCCTGCCAAAGATGACTGACTAGCTCAGGTGGAGGACTCCCCCGCTCCTGCGATGGACCTGAAGAAATAGAAGCTTCAGGTTGCAACCTGATCCTTGCACCAGGTTAGCGACAGCACAGGCCATGTGCGTGAGTGTTAGCAACATAAAACCCCACTGGGGATGGGATGTAGGCAGCCCTCAGGCATTTGCTGCACCAGGCTCCCAGCCCAAATGTGGATTGTATTATTATTTTTCCTTCAGGGTTTAGAGGTGAAAATCTCTGGACTAGTGGATGGGCCTCAAACAGGGACACACTAGTGGGGTTCACAGGAGCCTGGAACTCCATCCAGTCTCCCACATGGGTAGCAAGAGCCCAGGTACTTGGGTCATCTTAGTCTGTTTTACCAGGTGCATTAGCAGGGAGATGGACTGGGAGTAGAGCAGTGAGGACTGGAACCAGCACTCTCATGGAATGCCAGATCACAGGTGGTGGCTTAGCCCACAGCGCAATGGTGCTAGCCCCTAATTCCACTTTTCTATAAGCTTTTTGAAGTATCCTGGTAGACAAGGGCCTGGCCTTGGCCCTGTCCCAGTGCCGAACATCAGATATCGTGGTTGATTCCCCAAGGGCAGTAGGTGGATTGGCCTCACGAGAGGAGCTCTGAGGACATCAAGTCGGCTCAGTGACTTAAGCCAATTTTCACTTAATTCTTGACAATTTGCCAACAAGCATTGGGTTGCCTACATTCCATGTTGCTCTTTTAGTAGGAAAAAATCTGAATCCAAAACAGTGTGGAGAGCCAACTGAAATCTACACGGGTTTGTAAACATGACAAGTCATTACCGGGGGAGAGAAAGGCCCAGTCTGGCCAACTGCGGAGCTCAACTTGGATGCCTTAAAAAGCTTGCTTTATTTCACTCAACGTAACTAGAAATGCATTAGACTCCACAGGATTTGAGATGATATCATGTTTGCTGTTCACTTTAGAATACTGAGAGAGACTGCAGAAACACACACACACCCCGCCTCGTTTTACTCTGGGAGATGATCGGAGGACGTTGAGGATAGCAGTCACCAGTGTAGTGGTGGCAGACCTAGGTCCCAGACCCCTTGCTGTTTCACCAAGCTGCAGTGTTGCATGAGACATCCAAAGTAATACTCTCAGCTCCCAAATATTCTACAGATGCTGTCCAAGAATGATGCATTCAGAATGAGAATAGTTTCTGTCATCGTTAGCTGCCTCAGACCGCCACATCCTGTTCATGTTATTGACATCTGCCTTTCCTATGCAGTATCCATAGCAATGCACAAATATTGGAAACCCTCCTCAGACCCTGGGGTTTTCTTGCCATTGGATAACGATGCAGCAGTACTATGTTGCACATGTACACAGAATGGGGGGTATTTATAGCATTTATGGAGCTTTACCATCTGCACAGCCAGGGAGTTTGAAAGCTGGGTTCTGGGTGTTACAGAGTATTTCCTAGGAAACTGAAAAATAAATACATTATGAAATTTTGGTTTTCAATGTGTTACTGATGGTGTCTTGGCATCCCGTCAAGCCTGCTGCAAAATACACTTTGCACCAGAAGGGGCATTTCTTGTGTAATCCATTGTGTCCTTGGAATCCGCAAGAACCCCACCAAATGACTTCTGTGTTAATAAGAGCATATAATAATTGAACACTCACTGTGTGCGAGGCATTATGCTAAGAGTCTTGTGCATTCTTCCATTTAATCTTCACATTAACCCCTAGGAGGTAGGTGATGCTGTCCCTTTTTTCCTAGTTAGAAAACAGGCCTGGGCTGGTGCCACAGCTCACTAGGCTAATCCTCCGCCGGCGGCGCTGGTACCCTGGGTTCTAGTCCCGGATGGGGCGCCGGGTTCTGTCCCGGTTGCTCCTCTTCCAGTCCAGCTCTCTGCTGTGGCCCAGGAAGGCAGTGGAGGATGGCCCAAGTGCTGGGCCCTGCACCCCATGGGAGACCAGGAGGAAGCACCTGGCTCCTGGCTTCAGATTGGCGCAGTGCGCCGGCCGTCCATAGCAGCCATTTAGGGGGTGAACCAATGGAAGGAAGACCTTTCTCTCTGTCTCTCTCTCTAACTCTGCCTGTCAAAAAAAAAAAAAAAAAAAAAAAAAGGAAAAGAAAAGAGAAAACAGGCCTGATGAATGAAGTAGCTTGTTTATTTCAGAACTAGTGAATGGTAGCACCAGGGTTCAAACCTACATCCCTGTGACTCCTGAGGGCCTGTTTGTAACATGTGTCCAGAGGCTACATAAATAACAGAGGCAACCACAGCATAAAATCACTCTGCAATATCAATAGAGTCACAGTGAAGTATGTTTTCCTGTGCAATACACTTTTAAAACGAACTCTAACCTCTGATTCCTTCTATGACTATAGAAATTATTCCATCTCTCCCTCAAACAACAGATCCATTTGACATGTCTCTCCTAAATGGCATCTGTTAAGAAACGACTGCACTTGACTCTGAGCATGTACAAAGTTCTTACCAGAAGGGGTTAATGCAAGAAGAGGAGGAAAGGTCAGCCCAGGAATGCAGGGTTGGGTGAGAGGATTGCTATGGCTAGCAGGCATCAGTGGCACTGAGGGCCTCCGGTTGGGCATGACCAGGCCTTTCCCCTGAGCAGATATGTGTGACATTCCCCCACCCCACCCGGGCTCTGTCACTATGGGGGAGATTGGACTGAGCAGGTCAGTTGTAACTGCCCACCAGGTGTGTCTATCCAGACTTAGTGGGGCAAGTCAGTAAACAGACGTTGACCATTAGGGAAGGTGAAACAGACACCAGGTATCTTCAAATAAGATCAAGGTAGAGAGTAGGAGGCTGCTAAGCCTGGAGGTGGCGCGGCAGCCAAAGTGGTGTGCCCAGGAGTGGGCGGACTAAGTCGTCCATGGGGCAGCACGGTGTGGGGTCAAGCCAGTTAGCTTGCAGCAAGCTAACTCGGCCTCCATATTTAGAAGTTCTAAAGCAAAGGTTCTTACCCTGGGGTCCACTGATGGGT